AACTGTTAGTGATAATTAAACTAATGTGGTTGGTTTATTTAAATTAATGCAAATTTCGCATTTCTAACTGTTAAGCGTATTTATTTTAAAACAAGCTTTAAATGTTTGAACAAAACAATAATAAGCTAAAAATTAAAATCTAAAWTAAAAAATATGTAAACAAAAATCAAGTTGAACGAAATGTTTTATATTGTCTCAATCGTACTACTAATGTACATTAAAGCAATTTTGTGTAAGAAAGAATCTATTTTGTGAAGTCAGTTTCAATAATATGTTGATTAGGGCTACGAGTCTAAAAATATTTACTAGAGCATCTCATAGGCATTTGTTGATAATTTAATTTTTATGTGGGTTATATGAGAGTTATAACTTTTTAAATTACAATTTAAAAATAATCATAACCCACTAAAATTCATTTATCAAAAAAAAAAAAAATTAGAAGATACACAAGAAAATAAACTATTTTAAATTTTATAACAGTATATTGATATACCAAAAAACAAAATGTAAACCAAAAATTGGTTGGTACTACATATTTAACAAGAGGATAGTATTATCCAATAAATTGAGATTTATTAAGTATGATCATTGAAAAAGCTCAAACAAGTTTTGTGTACATCTGACAAAACAAAAATTAATTGATTAGTAGACCAACTGGAATGGGAATTCACAAACACACTGAGTATAAAAACAGCATACATCACAATTCAATGTTGCACATCATCTACATACATAAAAAAAAAAAATGAAGTGTTCGCATTATCAGGTATGAGTAAGTTTAGAAACGACTCTGGTAAGGGCTTTGTTCTCAGTTCGGAGCCGTTCATTTTCTGCTTTCAACTTTTGTAATTGCTAGATAACATAAACTTAAGTGTAAGCTCTAAATATTTTCTAGCACAAGTAGCAACATTGATAACAGTCTATTTTTACTAGTAGAATGGCCTTAGATTTTAATTCCCTCAAATCGTCAGAAAAAAATGAAATACATAATTACCTTGAGTTCCTCTTCCATCTCTGACAATTTTCTCTCCATAGCCCGCCTTTCGCGTTTTTCCGTTTCTGACAATGTAGTGCTTTTTCCGGCCTGAAACATTCAATTAAACATCAACATACAATTTATTGTAACCACTAATCAGATTCGTTTTTTTAGTGGTGAACAATAATATTTCTTACATTGGTCGACTGTTTTTCTATAGTAATTTTGGCTTCTAGTAGGTCTTCTTCAGTCTTCTGTAACTGTCGCCTTAATCGTTCGTTGTCTACGACTACTTCTTCGTACAGCTAAATCGATACACACAGAACAATAAACAAACCGGAAATCATTTAAACGCAACGGATACTCACARCTTTGTAATCGATTTCGCCGTTTTCAGAGCACGGGCCGGGAGAATTAGCAGCACTATTGGGTTTACTGTCTAGCGATGACGATATTGAACTGAGCCTTAACGTAGTCGGACTCGATTTGGTATCTCCGCCGCTCTGAAATCAATAGGCAATAAGAAACAAGTAACAACAAACCAACAACAGTGAAATATTAATTTCGTAAACAACAACATGTTGCGTAGAACATTGAAAACGATGACGCACGATCACCGATCGATGGCAATTCGGGACTTWTCAAAGGRGAAAAATAAYTAGCGCCCGTAAACATTTTCTAGCGAGAATATGGAGCAATCTTATTAAGAATAAAAATAAAACTGTGAAGATAAAATATATTATAAATATAATTAATTGTATCAACCTAAATTTAAATAATAATTTTTAATTTATGACTCAAATATTTGTTTTAATCGAACATTGGAAACGTTGACTTGTTATGACTTTAATTATCACTAGGAGCCGGATGTTGATGATTTTTTTTTGGAACATCATAGACGATTGTTTGCAGGCTTAAAAAGTGTTTCAATAATATATGAATGTATAAAACCAGTTTTATATGCATTTTTTTGTTTTAAGGTCATGTGATTTTGAAGATAATTTATTTAAACAATTCCTGGATCCTCATTCAAGTAGCCCAGAGGGACCTAG